TTATAATTACCATTACTAATTTCACCATTATCATTTCTAATCTTATTATTACCAATCTTACCATTACGATTACTAATCTTACTATTACCAATCTTACCATTACGATTACTAATCTCATGATTACCAGTCTTACCATTACTAATCTGACTATTACAAATTGGTATGACAAAAGAATATTTCATTATTACGTGGGAGACCAAGTGTTAATACATTACCATTTCTACTTATTTTGTTCCATGTAAGCTTCCTTTGGGTATTTTTACTTTTAATGATTGAAAAATTAGAATTCTTTTTAATATCTAACAGCAGTTAATAAATAGATAAAAATATTAGCAATGCATTTCCAAAATGACTCCAGTATTGGCATCATATTTTTTTGACAGTATGAGTAAAATAGTTAAAATCACAAAGAAGCCAACATCAAAATGTCATGAATAATTCAATATTTAAGAATGTCATTGCATACCACTGAGGAGAAGAGATTGTCAAAAATCAAGATAAACATGTATTCACAGATAAAGAGCTTTATCAACATTGGTATTAAAATTACCAGATTTGTTTCAGGTGTAACAGTTCTTAGTTATCTAAGGAAGCCATAAACATTAGAGTGTTTATCACTGAACCTGTTAGGTTAAACAATGATCAATAGACAAAAGAGTAAAAGAAAAAAAATCATGTACCTCCTTACCAACTACTCATCTATTTTCTTAGTTTTAAGAAGAAATATGATTATAAGTTGGAATTGGTTTTAAGAATGACTGAGAATATCAATTGGAATGTAAAAAAAAAAACCCAAAGAAAATGCTTGTCAAAAAACTAAAGCAAGATACATTGGTGAATATATTGTAGTGAGTCCTGATAAAAATAAAATATATAAACAAAAATAAAAAGAATTCAAATCAAAATAAGGCATTTGTGCTTTCCTTTAAAACCATTATTTATTTTTTTATTCTTCTATACATCTCTCAACCTACAAGAAGGCAACCCTCAAATAAAAAGTGGAAAAAGAAAATACTGAACCAGGCCAAAAACACTGGAAGCTTGCAGGAGCAGAACTTACTTATTTGTGACTAAAAAAATACCATAAATCAAGGAGGCTCCACGCATAACTTCCGTTATAAAAAAGAAGAAAAAGGAATGCAGGAAAATAAAATAATTTGGCCAATCAGAGAAAGTGACACAAAGACTTTGATGTTTGAAGAAGCAGTAAAGAAGTCATTAGCTACTGACATTTCCACCATGTTTCAAAGCTGAAAAGAACACAGTAGATTGAGACTGACCTAATTTCTGACATTGCTTGTCAAAAAACTGAAGCAAGATACATTGGTGGATATATTGTAGTGAGTCCCAATAAAAATAAAATATATAAACAAAAATAAAAAGAATTCAAATTAAAATAAAGGCATTTGTGCTTTCCTGTAAAACCATTATTTATTTATTTATTTCTCTCTCTAAACTTCTCTTTCTATACTTCTCTCAACCTATGAGAAGGCAACCCTCAAATAAAAAGAGGAAAAAGAAAATACTGAACCTGGCCAAAAACACTGGAAGCTTGCAGGAGCAGAGATTACTTATTTGTGACTAAAAAAATACCAAAAATCAGGGATGCTCCATGCATAACTTCCATTATAAAGAAGAAGAAAAAGAAAGCAATGCAGGAAAATAAAAAGAAATTGACACAAAGACTTTTTGATGATTATCCAAAGCCAAGGATCCCACCACAAACTCTGAGCTTACTTAAAAAGGATAAAAACCTGACACAGAATTGCATGTATATATTTGTATGAATATAAAATTATTATTTTTAGAAAAAAAAATTTAAAGGAAATTCTGACACAAAGGTAAAGTAAATAATATTTGTTTGCTTGTTTATAAACAGCTGTGCACCTTCGTAGGTAAGTTTTGAGTGAGAACTGACCTCACTCAGTCCACAACGAGTTTAACAAACAAGATACATAAACTCAATGAGAACAGACATATATATATATATATATATATATATATATATATATATATAGTGCACCAGGTCTCTGTATTTGGCCCTTCAAAAAGTGTGGATGGTCCTGCACGAAACCTTCACCATTATAACTGAATCTCATGTGCCGGTGTTGGGCTGTCAGTTTCCTGGAAACTGATCTGCATGACCCTCATACGTCGAACCCGACGGGAGAATCGATTACGATTATTATTATATATATTATTTAAAAAAATAAAGCATAATACAAGTTTACCTTGGTGAAAAACTAGCAATGACTTCTGTGTGCATTTAGGTTTTGTTTATATTATGCACTTTGCTCATACTTACATACATTTTTTTCTTTTTTGCTTTGTCACAACCTATTTTATTTATCTCGCAACCTACTGAAAGGTTGAAACGCATTATTTGAAAAACCCTGGAGGTAGTTTTATATGGGGAGATGCAAAAGTAGTTATATAGTAATGAAAAAAGAACTTGCACACAAAATGTGTTGTATTTATTTTAATACTGGAAATATGTATAATACTTACTGTATACCTACTTTTGCAGCCTCCTGTATATTTTCCCCGGATCATTTACAAAATCAAAACAGTTGGAAGAGAACATTGACATTAGAAAAAGCTATAACTGTTAGTGGACGCACGTTTTCCTGTAGTCAACAGATCCCATTGTAAAATTTTTTTTTCTTTATTGACTACACTTGCTTAAGAATTATCTGCTCAAGTCAGAAAAAGTCATTTGACCCTACCCTATCCTCTCCTGTGTTCTTTCTCTCCATCCGGTAGAAAAATTCTGCTTTCAGCAGAGAGCTATATAGCCTTTATTATTATTATTATTATTATTATTATTATTATTTCTGATACACTTGCTTGAGAATTAAATTTAATAACAGACTATATATGATTATATTTAAAAAAAATTAAAAAAAAAAATATAACACAAGCTTACCTCGGTGAAAAACTAGCAATGATTTATGAGTGATGTGCAACATTTAGAGTTGTGTATATTCTGCACTTTGCTCTTATGTGTTTTTGGTTTTTTTTTCTTTCCTTTTTATTTATCTTGCAGGTTCAAATCCTGCCAGAGAATGCATATTTTTCTAATAAGTTTTCTCAAATGTTCAGGGGAGTAGATAAAATAAACAGAACATCTACTCAAATTCAGGCACCCACTAAAAATAATGTTTATATATATATATATATATATATATATATATATATATATATATATATATTGGATTATTTACCTAACCAGTTCCTTCCTATTTTCTATATATTTTCACATATTATATATCTATATATATAAAAATTCAAATAACCAGGTTAGCAGTGACTGGCCACTACTATTAGTTTCATGTGCTTTCACACAATCATCAGGTAGCCAGTAACTTGTAATAAGATTAATACCCTATATACCACTGGGTGAGTTCAATTTGACAAGCAAACCAAACCCCGCATGGTTGAGGGCAGGGGGGGGGTAGATCATCCAACCAAGGTCTAAAATGGCAAAACAAAAAAAAAATAAATAAAAATTTCCCACCTGGAAAAGCTTGCCAGTACACCAAAAAGCACTAAATAAAGTGAAACTAGTTCCATGGCACAGAAGCTGAAGCCTTAAGCCAAAATAGTGCTCAACAGTACCGGACAACCAAATTCACTTCAGAGCATTTATATATAAATCCAGGGTTTAAATAAACAGCTCTGAATAAAGTCTGCCCAAAAACAGCACTTTTATGCCAGAAGGCTATTTTTGGGCAGACTCTATTCAGAGCTGCTCATTTAAACCTTGGAGATCTATCTATCTATCTATCTATATATATATATATAAAACACACAAGCAACCATATATGCATGCAATCACTTGATTCACTATCCTTTTATGTGTAACAATTTATTTTTATTTTTTTTATTTCAGTGTCTCAAATTTTTATTTCGCTATTTACTCTATTTCTTCTTTTTTATCCCCACCCTATAATTTTGCAATTTGAATCTAGATCTATACCTCAATATTTGATTCTAATTATATAATTATCAAATATAAAATAAATATACTATATAAGTTAATTTTTGAAAATACTAATGATCAGTTCATCACCATTATAAGTACCTGAAGAATATTGTATTGAATATGGAACTTGTAGTCGTACTTTCAGCATAAAGTAATATATATATATATATATATATATATATATATATATATATATATATATATATATATATATATAGAGAGAGAGAGAGAGAGAGACACACACACACACACACACAAGAAGGGTGTTGAAAAAAATTCTTGACCTGACCCATTTCCAAAAATATATGGATAAATGATTAAAAACAGATTTTTTTTAGGAATGGCTTCTTGTTCAAGCTGTGGATTTTTCAACACTCCTCTTTATATATATATATATATATATATATATATATATATATATATATATATATATATATATATATATGATATGAATGCATAGGGATATATATCAATATTTTCTTTCCTGCTGTAAACCTTCATGTTGAAATGTAAAACTTTATTTTGCAATCTGCAGGTGAATAAAAAGAATTAATACTTAAAAAGATGGGAAAAGAAATTTGGAAAAGTTAAAATAATTTCCTCCTCATTTGATTTAGATAACATATTGAAGGAAGATGAAACCTAAGATGGTAGACTCGCCTGCAGCCATATTGGACAAGAAGGATAACAGAGTAGGTTGTCAGCTTTTCATTTACAGAAGGATCAAAGAAATGGAAGCATGTAGTGAGTTGGGTGGGGTGAAGTGGGTTGATATGATTATTGGAATGACAGAATCGAGGATAGTAGGTAAGAAAAGAGAGAAAATGAGTCATCTCTTAAAGATGGAACCAAAATTATGGCAAAAATGGTACCTTTCCGTCAGTGATTGCCAAAGGGAATTTTTTTTTCTTTAATGGAAAATGTTTCTGTCACCTGATATTTTTTCTTTCCCAATACTACAGAGGAAATGCATTTTGGAAAATGAAAAATTAATTATCTTATTAAAGACACCATACTAGAGAAGATAATGCTTACATGGAGAAATGGGGAGAAGAAAGAGTGACATGGAAAGAGAAAAGTGAGGGACTGATGAAGTGGGAGGGAGAAAGAGAGGGAGTGAGAGAGATAGAGAAAGTGATAAAAGAGAGGGACTGATGGAGTGAGAGAAAAGATGGAAAGAGTGTGCGAGAGAGAGAGAAAAAGGAGGGAGAGAGAGGGACTGATGGATAGGGAGAATGGAGGGAGTGATGGAGAGAGAAAGAAGAGAGGGACTAATGGAGTGAAAAAGATGGCAGGAGTGAGAGAAAAAAAAGAGAAGGATCGATAGAGTGAGAAAGATGAAGTGAGAAAGGAAGGAGGGAGAAAGATGGAGAGAAAGAGAGTGACAGATGGAGTAACAGAGAGAGAGAAAAGGAAGAAGTAACAGAGAGAGAGAAAAAAGGAGGAGTAACAGAGAGAGAGAAAGAAAGAAAAGGGAATGACACAGAAAGAGAAAGAAGAAGGAATGATATGAAAGTAGTGAGAAAGAAAAAAGAAAGGAATGAGAGAGAGAGATAAAAAAGAATGACACAGAAAGAGAAAAAAGAAGGAATGATAAGAGGGTAAGATGTAGAGATTGAAAGATCATTCTCTGATACATGCAAACAGTGCAGATCAGAAATAATGAATAAGCCTCTGGCAAAGGCTTGAACTTGCATCCCCTTTATCTTGAGAAACCCATACCTCTGCAACTGCTAACTTGCCAATTAAGCTTATTCTTAATTTCTGATTCACAATTATGATGAGTTGGACAAAATGTGATAAAAAGCAACTGAAATTAAACAGCAAAGGAATACTTGTAGAAAATTAATTATAATTAATAATAACAATAATTTCTCAGAGTCATGGTTTAAAATGACTGAACAAATGAAGTTTGTAGATTTTAGCAAGAAACATGCTTCTTTGGCCTTTGTGGACTGGCACTACAGAATCACAAAAAATTTTACCAAATAACAGTAACCACATCACTTGAAGATAACTTTCAACAGCAGCAACAACTAAAATGGATAGTACATATAACTCAAAGAGAAGATAATAGTATAATCAACAGGTTGATCTTCAATACTAATTCAAACAAAACATTAAGAAGAAAGCCCCCATCAGTACAGGAAAGAACAAGAACAGCTAGTGAACTTTTGAAGGCTATTTACCTGAAAAATTGTTCTAACAAAAAGATTATATAAATTTCAACTAAAAGTAGCACTGGCTGTTTGGTCTATGAATACAAAATGTTTCCTTATTAGAAAATGTCTAATATTATCATTATCCTTACTACAACTATTACTAGTATGTAAAAGTTAAAAATGGTGGCCTCACCCTGTTGACATTAATTATTATTCTACTTGTTTCTAAATGCAACTAAAGTTTTATACCAAAATTTAGATGTGTAGTCCGAGCATGATCGCTGGCCCTTTTCATCTCTAATCAGTCAGGTTTCCAGTACTTGCATGATTTTGACATCCCTAATATGTAACTCAGCTAACGAAAGATTCAGGAATGCAAAACTACCCAAGTGCCGACTGCAGAAGCGACCATCAACCTGTCATAGGTAAACTAAGAGTGAAACTACAGAAACTAATGCAGCATTCAAATTGCAATACAACAAACTCCTAAGTGACCCAAACGTGAAGGAAAAATATTTGGACAGTGTGAAGAGTAGATGCAAGGAACAAAATGGAAATGGAAACTCGAAATAGGACAGACTAAGTGAAGCTTTAGTAATATCAGCAAACGATATCATCATAGAGGAGAATGAACAAAGAAGAAAATATGAATGGATCACTGATGAAATTCTTGGCATGATGCAAAAGAGGCAGAAAACTCTGTGAAGACATAGAATGGAATACAGAAAAATACACAAAGAAATAAGGACCAAATGCAGGCAGGCTAAAGAAGATGGTTGTTTGGTTGTTTTATGGCATCTCAACCTCAGTGGGTCATTTAATGCCAACAAAATTTTTGAAATAGATAGATAGCGATAGTTTGGTAAAAAAGGTACAAATAGTTATATATACATATATATTTGAACCGTTTTTCAATTACTCATATGTTTGAGTACAATCATATGTATTGCTGGCAATATTTTGTTTCCAAAAATGTATTGCTGGTAATAGTTTTTTGGGGTTTTTTTTTCAAAAATTAATTTCTGGTAACAATTTTTTCACAGTATTTCTGGTATTAAAAGCTATTTTTACACTTTATAATGCTTTTTACTTCAGTTTCAGGGTTAACTATTTGCCCATAACTGGGACCCTAACAGGTGCTACCATCCCGGGTCAGGATGGACCTGGGAAGACCAGCAATTAAGAGGTGGTTCCACACTCCTCAAAACCTCCTTATCAGAGGCCTTGCTGTTAGATGTAGTTTATTGTCTTACCCTGGATGTGGATGTAGTTTATTGTCATACCTGGGATGCCCCACTAGGGGGTGTCTTACCCCTCTGCAGAGGTGCAGTTGGCATATTCTACAGCCCCAGCCAACAGGGCACCAGGCTAAAGAAGAGTAGCTAAACAAAAAATGTGCCGAAATTGAGTGATTGAATACCACAAGGGAGATATACATAAACAAATAAGGAAACTAAAAGGACAGAAGACTTGCTCATCAACAGGATAGAACACTCAGAGAAAGAAAAAAATTCTTCAACACTGCAAAAAATATATTGGAGAACTCTTCTATGACAAAAGAGAATAACCGGCAATACAGAGATTTACTGACAGGCCTGAAATTCTAAAAACCAAAGTAGAAGCAGCAATGGCTATATTAAACAGAAACAAGGTGGCAGGGCCAGATGGAATAGTAACAGAGATGCTGACAGCCTTAGATGATTTTAACTAGACAAGATCACAGAAATAATAAATGAAATCTACAACAGTGGGGATATACTGGAAGATCTAAGCAGAACTATTTTCATAGCACTGCCTAAGAAACCAGGAGCAAACAACTGTGAACTCCACTGAACAATCAGCCTGATGAACCACATAACAAAACTCATCATCCATATTCTGATAAATAGAGCATGCAGCAGAATCAGGCCAGAGATAGGACAAGAACAGTGTGAGAATATTCTGGAACAAGGAATGCAATATTCATGTTCAGAATGTTATCAGAAAGAGCAATACAAATTCAGAAGAACATGCACCTGTGTTTTATAGACTACACAAAAGCATTTGACAAAGTATACCACAAAGATCTGTTGGAGCTGCTCAGCAACCTTAACATATTCGGGAAAGACATTAGGATAATCAAAAACATCTATTAGCAACAAACTGCTTGCATAAAGATAAAAAATGAGTTCAGCAGATATATGAAAATAAAAAGGGGCGTAAGGCAAGGATGTGTCTTCTCACAAGATCTATTCAACCTATACAGCAAGGAAATTCTAAGAGAACTGGAAGGCCTACAAGGATTCATCATTGGTGGCTACAATCTTAACAACATAAGATATGCAGATGACACTGTGCTGATAGCAGACATGGAAAGGAAACTACAAAACCTTCTATAGAAGGTAGCGAAGTTGAACAAGAAGAAAGGACTAAGCATAAACTGAAAGAAGACAGAATGCATGGTTATCAGCAAAAAGATGAGCCCAAAATACAATTTACATGTCGGGGATAATAAAATCAAGCGGGTGCAGAAATTCAAATATCTGGGAAGTGTTCTGACAGAGGATAGTAAGTGCAATGCTGACATCTGAAGACGTATTGGGATGGCCAAAGATGCATTCCAATATCTAAACAGTGTATTAGGAGACAGGAGGGTTTCGTTGGGAGCAAGGAAAAGAGTGCTGAACTGCTACGTGATAGCTGTCCTCCTTTACGGCAGTGAATGTTGGATGGTCTCCTCAAAGAGAAAGAAGAGACTCTAGGCAGTAGAGGTGTGGTTCTACCAAAGGATGCTGAGGATACCATGGACTGAACATGTGAGCAACAATGAGGTTTTGGAGAGGATGCAAACAAAAAGGAAACATCAAGAAGAGGCAGCTGAAATTTCTGGGACACATAATGAGAAAAGAGGGCTTGGAAAATCTGATACTCACAGGTCAGAAAGAGGGACAAGGGAAAGCAACACATGACATACTTAAGAGGAGTTGAGCAGGTGGATAGCAGAATGGGGTCTGGGAGAAATAACAAAAAGTCAAAACTTATTGAGAGCTACAATGGACAGAAGGAAATGGAGAGCCTGAAAGGACATGATACATAAAAGAAAAATAATATGTAACTCACAGCTTGGGTTATCTCTTTTTGCTGACAACCATGCAGCCTGTCTTCTTTCAGGTTCTTTCTTTTACTACATTCTTTATCATTCTTTCAGTTTTCTTTCTGAGTCTGCCATTAACACTGTGTCATTCACATATCCTATGTTGTTAAGATTATATCTGTTGAGAACAACTAGTAGGTCTTCCCCTAGGATGGCTTTGCTTTACAGTTTAAATGAATCTAGTGAAAAAAAAAAAAAAAAAAAGCAAAAACACATCCCTGTCTTATTCCTCTTTCTATTTTTGTGTGACACTATTGGAAAGGCACTAGTAAAATGAAAACTAGAAAACAGAAAAATACTAATTTCTGATTGACTGAAGATATACTGATGACCAGATGGAGGTAAATGAAAGAAAAGGATATTTGATTTTAATGGAGAAAAAAACTAGAAGACAAACAAACACTATTTACATGCAATGATAACAGCAAAAATTGCAATATGAGCACTGGTAAAAAAGGTTGCTGAGACATTAGGTTTATAATACCCAGAAATCCACACACAGATGTCCTCAAAGACACATGGCACAGTGGATAAATGCGTTGGTTACATCCAGTGACAGAACCCAAAGAGTGTAAGTTCAATACCTGGCAGTGGAGAACTTGGAGAGGGGAATTAACAGGAGATAACTGATAACTGACATCCATTAAACATAGCACGTGGAACTAGAACAGTCTACCTCAGTGAGCGAAATAAAGGATTCAGTTCAACATTCCAACCACCTGAAGAAGTCCAGAGCATACAACGGCTGAAACATTGTAATAAATATGGTGACAAAGATGAGAACAATAGTCCGAATAATGTAAATAGTAAGCAAACACTACTGATGACCAGATGAGGGAAAATGAAAAAAAGGATATTTGTTTTTATTATTGAAAAACGAAAAAATAGAAGGTAATTAAATTTCTCTGCCAGAAAGGTAAAACAAAGAGATCATCTGGTTTTGTTTAGAATTAAGATAAAGTAATGGGATATTCTTGGAGGTCCAAGGATCTCCCAGAAAGAAATAGATAATATTTTTACGTCCACTGAGTGATGGAGAGGAAGAAAAACTTCTGGTTTGTTCAGTTGATTGATAAGGATTAACTTTTAAAAGCAGACAGGTTCCCAAAAGAACATATGTAAAGAATGATAATTAAATTTTCTGTCTGCCAAAACATGATAAAACTTCCCAAATCAAGGGATTGTTTCTTTTTTGTCACTTGTTGGCCAAGATGTTGACGAGGGAATAAAAAGATGATAAATCCCAGATGTGAAAACGACCACACACAAAAGCATGATAAGAAAGAATTTTGAACAATAATTAAAATTTGGGCTAGCCGACAGCTAGCCCTT